TTATACTAGGCCTGTTATAAAGGGAGTTTTCTCCAAGGCACTCTTTGCCTTAAGGATAGAAGTGTGGCTGTTTTTTTCTATTAGTACTCTGTTGTGGTTCTTTCTTATTAGCCAGGTAGACAATGACTGGGAGGGAAGATGAACTAAGAAAATAATAATAAGGTCACAGTCCATTAAAATTTCCCAAAGAAATTTTGCAAAACCTTACCCAGCCTTTGTGTCATAGCCTGCTTATTTAAGAAATATTTGATAAAAGTAAAATTTTGGTATAGCAAAAGAATTTCATTCCCTGAGGCTCCATGTAATAGAACCACACCTTTTGCCTTATGCCTATTAAGTGCTGAGAAACAGGAATGGAATGATAAAAGGCTAGAGGCAGGACTTTCTAAGAGGGAGTTTGGTACAAGGTTAACAATGGTATCTTTTATCTGACACACAGCTTTGCCTTATCAGTACCCCTGGTAATTAGCATAATAGGGCCTCAGGAAACATTCAGATGAGGATTCTTTATCTGTTAATTTGTAAACTAGGACTAAATCCTCCCCCTTCTGATTTGCTGGTTGTTAGAATTTAAGTTGGTGCTATTTCAGAAAATCAAATTAGCATGTAGCAGTCACTTGGTAAATGACATTTATTAACACCCATACCTTAAATCCTAAGAAGCTTTTTAAATTTATTCAAGCTTACTGCTTATGTTTATTGGCCCCTTGCAGTATTTATTTATTTAAAATACTAGAGGCCAGGTGCATGGATTCGCGCACCAGTGGGGTCCGTCGGCCTGGCCTGCACCCTCTCAGTATCTGGGACCCCTTGGGGGATGTCAGCCGGTTTTGGCCTGATCCCCACAGGCCCGATCCAGATAGGAGGGAGCCCAGTCCCTGCAGGCCCAATCCAGACAGGGGGGAGCCTGATTCCCACAGGCCCGATCCAGACAGGAGGAGCTCTATCCCATGCATTGAGCGTCTGTCCCCTGGTGGTCAGTGCTTGTCATAGCGACTGGTCAACCAGTCATTCAGTTGCTTAGGCTTTTATAGATAGATAGATACATACATACATACATACATACATACTAGAGGCCTGGTGCATTAAAATGGGGCATGAGGGGGATGTCCCTCAGCCTGGCCTGCACCCTCTCCAATCTGGGACCCCCTCAGGGGATGTCCAACTTCTGGTTTAGGCCCGATCCCTGTGGACATCCTTCTCACAATCCAGGAACGCTGACTCCTAACCGCTCACCTGCCTGCCTGCCTGATCACCCCTCACCACTGCCTGCTGGCGGCCGCTGGGGTGAGGGGCCATGGT